AACTTAAGGAGAATAGATGACGGATCACTCCAGATAGGATTATACAGGAAGCCGTACTGGTCGGGGCAATATACGCATTTCCAGAGATGTGTTCCATTAAGCATCAAAAGAAAATTGGTACACACTGACAATCCGTGCAACCAAGATCTGCAACGGTGACACAAAGATTCACTGAGACGAATGCAACAGATGCTTCTCGAAAACGGCTATGCATAACGCTTCATCGACGTTTATCTGAATCTAAGCAGTCCGAGATCCGCCGTGCAAACAGTGTTTCTCAGACTTCCTTTTAAGTGACATAGCGGCTGAATTATGTAAACGACGACTGGCATGAAGCCGCAAGAAGACCTTCAAGGTAGCGCAACTTAACTTCATCTTTACGAGCAAATCGCTAATTGATCCTAGATTCAAAGATAAAGTGCCTGATCAACCCCAGTCAATGGGTATCTATCGGTTCACCTGCTCCTGTGGTGCTAGGTAAACTGGACGCATGAGCAGACACATGGAAAACGGAACCAAATAACATGTATCGAATTCGCTCATGAATCAGTAGGGCTGGGCTAATTGGAGTACAATAACTAACCAGCTGATTTGTACTGGACACCTAAAAGAGAAACGTAATGCTTTCGAAATCTTGTATATTGTACCACCGGTAATGGGCACGGCTGCCTGGTGCTTGCGGTACGCATCAGATTGACAAAACCGATTCTATGCATTCAGAAGAGGCTCGTCAAAGCGGTGTCACTACCTTGGCCAGCGACCAAGCGAGAGAAATCGGATCCTGCTCAGCGGCACCATGTGCCTTCACCTGACGCGTGTTACGATATGCTTTTAATTTTGTTCAATCAATAGCCTACCTCTGTATCTTTTAAGTGAATTTCTATAGCGGAAACAATTACTTGCTTCAAGCGTTCTGCCTAAGATAGACAATAAATGAGCATCTTACACGAAATTTCTGGGTTATTTTAACAGACAAATTGATAACACAAGGCTAGGAAAGCGATGGTAAGAAAAGTAAGTAGAGAGGTGTTACATAAAAGCATGACACTACAAGGTAATCAGCTCAGGTGATAAACAAACGGTTAGATAACATTGCCTGTTGGCCAAGATAGCAATGATGGACATATGAATCGCTTCTGCAAACAATTTGGGCTTAAAATGGCTGAGGTAAATAGCTTCAGTAATAGACTGGAGCTGCTTTCGGAAGCCTTGCACGAAGCGTTCAGATAATGACTTTGAAGTCATCCCCAGAGGATGTCTGGCTAAAATCAAGGTGTGACATAATTGAGCTATTGGAAGATTTCATCTCGCCTTTGTAAAACCAAGCTGGGATGTGCCCGCAAATTCTCTGAGATAGGCGCCTCGTAGTGCAACCCACGTATCATGCACACAGGAGCATGAGTACTGATAAAGAAGCATTCAGTGGGTCAACGAGAGCAAGCCATTCTTGGGTTCAATTGTTCGCCGAGCTTCGTAATTGGTATGCAGACGTTTCATCACCATGCGAGGTGACTTCCTCAGTGCGGCCAAACCAGCGGATTACGTTTGACCCTACAGCGCACTGAGGAAGTCACCTCGCATGGTGATGAAACGTCTGCATACCAATTACGAAGCTCGGCGAACAATTGAACCCAAGAACGATCAACCCGGGCTACCTGTACATAAAGTCATTTTAGAGCAAGCCATTGTGGAAGGGTTTGTGCAAATGATGCCGAGCAACATGACTATGGTGGGCCATCAATATATATATATATATATATATATATATATATATATATATATATATATATATATAATGGTTGGCAGCACCCCCGGTTTTTTCGGATTTGCCTGGTCACTGTGGCCAGACTCAGGACGCCTGCGCCTACAGAGGTCCATGGATGGCTTGAGCGCTGGCACCACCCACAGCTCTATCCGGAACAGCCCCAGATCCCACTTGTTGTGTTGGTGTCGTTAAACCCGTAGGAATAAGACCGGGAGGCATGTGCATGGGAGCTATGTCTCATCAACGGATGCCGCCCACACTCCTTCACAGGCAAACAACACGCACGCAGTCTCTGGACAGAAAATCAAGCGCGACACGAACGGCGGTGGGTGGACCATAGTCTCGCTCCGCCACTAGTGCATGTTTACCGCTGCTTTGAGCCTAGCACGGCCACAAGACATTGCAACCCTGTCCCCTTCAGCAACGACCAACTGTCTCCTGGAGCCAGTATGGACGACGTAGTGGGTAATAGACAGGTAGGCACCTTGTCAACATGCACATCAAGCAATGGAACAATGGTTTATTACGGGTAAAAAAGCGTTGCTTAACAAGTCCCGTAGGATGGAAAATTATTGTGAAAATCAACTGCATGATAAAGGTAAAAGCTTTGTGGTGGACTCACCATAGACTTATGTAGAAGAGCGGAAATGTTCGCGTATTAAACGTATAAATCCATAAATCCATTGGTTAGGCGTTTGGCAAGACATCGTTTGATTGCGTTTTATAGCCCCTGGCTAACAAGTCATAAAATGAAATGTAAGTGAGACAATGCATCGTCAACACGTTTTTTAAATATTGCCAGATTGGGAGCAGAGACGACATAATTAGGGAGAGGGCGATCCAAGGCTAGCACACGCGGAGAGAAAAGAAATTTTTGCGGCATTCAAGCCGGCTATACTGAATTGTCAGTTTCAGAGGGTGACCTCTTAGTTTAGTGTTGTGGTTCAATTCCAGCAGCGGACGACAAATGTGGTTTGGGTTCTTCAGAATCTGGTAAACCATTATGAGATCCCCCCGCAAAAGCCGATATCGACTGCTGTAGATTCTGAGAGATTTCAGTCTAAGCTGATAGGGGAGATGAAAGAGGCCCCTGACATTCTTGGTTGCGCAACCACACCGGGGATATCAAGCAACAGCCAATCAACTGGAACGACAAGATGAAATAAAACAAACACAATAATGCATACAGATACGGTGGCATAACTCTAAGCTAAATAAGCATATGAAGTAAGTTGGTTAGCAACGAATCCGCGATAAGGAAAAATGTCCACAAGTTAGTTAAAAATGCTACAAAACGCAACAGAGTTACCGAAGATAAGCGCAATTAATGTAAGCAACGTGGCCAGTTAATAGAAGAGTATTCAGGTAGGCAGAACAAACCAAATAAAGTGGAATGAAATTTAGCCAGCTTAAAAAGACCTAGTTTAAGTGTAAGTTGGTTTAGCCCAACTGCGGTGAAGAAGCATCAAGAATGCAACATCAGCCTCAGCATATATATATAATATATATATATACATACATACATATATATATATGTTCTGGTAGTCTCGCGATGTTTATTCTCGTCCGTATACTAACAGGCGGACAGGTTTAGATTCTGATCATTTGATACCTAAACATTTCTTTTTTTTAAACAACGAGCAGTATCGTAGGCGTCTTTGCTTTATCTTGCGCCTCCTTACATTGCTTTTCATGTTTCCACTCCTGGTCTCTGTAATGTCCCATGACACCTTCATTTTCTGCGTTTCTGTTGTGCGAATATTCTGTTGGGTCTTGCTGCCTTGCACCGTCTGGTCCTCCGGTTGACGCTCATCTATTAGTGCGAATTCAATTTTCTACCCCGCTAATAGACCCGCGCTCGTGGATTACTTTTTATCTTCACTATTGGTAGTATGTGGGCAATTGGCACACTTTTCATGACAATGGGATGCGCAGTGCTTAGTGACAATTGCCCAGCGTTATTTCCTTTATGCTGTTTTTCTTGAACCTGACAATCTCTGACATCCTACTTTGCGGTTGTGTCTGCAATCTCTCGTGTACCTCATTCTGGTACACTGGCCCAATGCCATTTTGCCGACTTTATCCTAGTGGTGGTGCAGACACTTGGTTGAACGCTGTCTCGCACTCAGGCGATCTGCCAGCAATCCAACAAATGCTCTTATGTGTCTCACGCCATTGGGCATTACAGTGCGTGCGCGTATTGCCTCTTATTTTTTTATACTTCCCAGTCCGCTTACGTCCTGTAGGCAAGGTTGTATATTCATGGAATACCCTATCTTATGCTTTGTATTTTATGCGAATCTAAATGAACGTTGTCTTACCGCTTTCGACTCCCCACAGCTGGCTATTACAGGTCATTTTCCAGTACCATTCCAACACTCACTGGGAAAGTGATCTGGCGATTTGGCGACGGCAATGCCGGATTTTGCTCTAGCACCAGAGTACCACTTGCTCTTGACCGGCACGTCATTGCACCCTAGAAACCATGTTATTACAAGCTCAAACTTGTAATCGCAGCTGCTATTTGACATGTTTACGGTACACGAATAGGTCTTTAGTGTCCTGGGCGCCTCCTATGGGTCTGGCTTCCCCAATATTAGAGTTCTAATTTTCGCTGCTAGATTTTACTTTCAATCCTTGTAGTCCCTGAGCAAAACATGTTTTACCGATGCGCATAGAGTAATGTCAGTTGCATGTCAGCCGATGTACCTTAGACTTCTTTACATTGGCTTTAGTGGTGTTTCAAGCATCGACGGAATTCACGGTACTGTGCCATGGTTTGCATAAACTATCACTAACACTTGCTATTCTATCCCATCCGCGTCGTATGCGCTCCATCACTCGGTTACTTGACGCCATCATGAGCACTGTTTGATTTGTCTGCTCAACTGTTAACCTCTGTATTCTCAAATGAGCTTGGCCTTAACGTCTTACTATAATATGCCTGATTATGAATATGTCGAAAGAAGTTGCTCGCTTTAGTCCTCCCGCTTATGTTTCTCCCCGAGATAAACACTGAGCGTGCGTTTCCATAAAGTTTTCGGTTTCCTTGTCTTTCCACCATAAATAAGCATTTGTACTTGCTTGTTTCTAACGAGGGCGTTTTTTCACTGGACAGCTTTGTGTCTAGTACCTTTTTATTCATCCAAGAATCTCTCACTACACTGTTTTTAGAATTCATGTGCTTCCCCTTTATGCTGGTTATCAGAATTTTCTTGTGCCTTTTCTTTTGCAGTTTACAAGAGCAATGAGAACCTTCTAGTTGTGATCAGAACTTCCCCTGGATCATATCCTTTTGCTTCGTCAGTTTTAATGAGAATATTGTATTTCACGAAATCTCGATAGGCTTTGCCACAGTGGACAGAACAAGTTTTATAAAGTTTTGCAAGTTGATGTTTAAAATAATACTTTAAAGGCGCATTGGATAAGGAGATTTAGCTGTTTGATTAGCGAAAATTTTTTCTCACATGTTGGAGGCTTGAGACCAGGATGTTCGCCCTCTGGTGTTCGGATGACACTGTCGAAAATATAAAGCTGGAGGAAAGGAAATTGCGTCAATCAAATAGCTTATAATGCAGTATTATTGCACCGATGATTACACCAAAATAGTTTTCCAGTAGCATTAAAAGTACGACTTAAATGTGTGCTGCGGCGTAATATACATTTGAGGACCGTTTATAACGTGAAGCAATATAATAGCAGATCAAGCGATTAAAATACAATACCAATTAGTCTCACATGTAATAACATTGGTACATCTAGCGTTCACGCATACTGTTACCGTCAGACACGCGAAAACTGCCTTTAACTAAATCAGTCATATATTTCTCGACGATTCGAGATGCTGTTCCCTCGAAGGGACGAATAAAAAAAGAATACAACCATTCCATACATTTGCATAATTCACTAAAAAAAGCTGAGCCTAAATTTCAAGCTGAATTGATTGCTGGCTTTCTGACCTCTCGATGAGCCATGGTTCTTCACAAACACGTGGCAGATGTTCGGGCTAGGAAGAAAATGAAACAAAAGTGGCTGTGTGTAGGCCATAAAGCCTTGTGCAGATGTGTTGTTCGTAATACTATCAGGCACCGTCGATACCATTCTCAAAAGCATTATTTATAGATTGTGGTGTCCCAAGTATTTTAACCGCGTTTCGAACGGTTAATTACCCATCGTTCACAGGTTTGAATTTACGCGGTGTGCAACATGCTCTGGTATTTGTTGGAAGTCTGTTCCAAAGAAACTTCCTTTGATTATCACACGGTGATCTTTATCTCTTTGTTGCATATCTGGTATCTAAGGAGAAGGATCGGTTTCTTTTTTTAACTAAACTTAGGCATCGTTCCACCCTTTAGTGTCTACATTAACTGGGGGCTTCGAGACATAGTTAAAAGCACTAGTGCTAGATGGTAGATGATAAATTGTCACTGGTACTTCACTAATAGAATACCCTTCTTAGTTGTTTCACCTCGTAGACCAAGTGAGTTTAAGCATTTTTAATTTGAACTGGACACTTTTCAAACCACATAGAACATTTTTCAAGTCATACTGGGCGTTTTCTAAATCAACGCAGCCATCAGCAGTTTAATATTAAGAGTGACCTTCTGATGACCCTCAGTTGATGAGGGGCTGCATCGCTGCTATTGTCGTCAAGTTCACCATCATGCTGAAGACTTACTACGTGTATTCCTGCTGTGTTACCATTTCGACGCTTGGCCTCTGCTCAGGCGCAAGGTTGATCAACAGGCGTTTCGCTAACGATGTGGCCTTTGAAGGCACGTTTTTCGTGTGCGAGTAATGTGACAAAAAATTCAGCTAACACGATGAACGAAGCAGGACGCCGAGTTCATCGAGCACGTTGATTCTGGTATCATACATGATAGGCTATGTATCATTCCTCTCCACTCTGCAAGATATACACACCACAAGCTCTTCGACGAACATCAAGAACGTTTCGCTTCACAGGTCCCATCGTTGCTAATCTTTTAGTGAACTATGCCTTGATTAACCATAATCACAAATAGCGTCCTTTATGTGGCCGCTGACTGTGCACAAGATGATATTGGCGCGCATCACTTGTCTTTAGCAAGCCTGGGTCCGTCTCGATTGAATTTTGAACTCACTGTCGTCTACCAAAATGCACTACTTGTTTTGTGTTGCATATGTCGAGAAGTTGAGAGACTTGGCCTGCCTGCTTGCGATGTTTTTGACACTGTTGGCGCGGTCGTGCTTCTTGGATGTGACCTTTAGATTTCTGTGAGCATTGCTGATCACAAGTGTGGAAAGGTGAATTTCATTCTCCTTCAGCTGCTGTTGCGCCAGCGCCAAATAATCCTCTGAGTGTTGTTCAGCGGTCTCCTCAGTGCGCTGCAGCACGCTGGGCATCACCTTATCCTTGGTACCTGTATGATCGATGAGGTGACGGGGTGCAACTTGATCACCATCTTTGAACGAGACAAACTACATTAACAGTCAGTTCAATCCACAGCAATCACAAGGGAAGAGCTAGCACTACCGGTCTGTGCTTGCACAACTCGGGTTACATTGACCTGCTGATAACATAGTTTGGATGTCGTGCAGTTCGATTTGCAAAAATCTCCCAGGTTGGCTTTAAAAATGTCATTCCGTTCTTGAAAACATCAGTTTAAAGTAAAAATGTTATGCCTGCTTGTCAGTTTCTTGTCTTACCGCCATCGATCATTACTGTGATTTGTTTCCAGGATATTTCTTAAACTGTTACTCTGATCATGCATTTATTCGCTGACTCGAATCGGTATTCGACTTTTGAATGGCTTCTCAAATCTGTCGAACCGTGTTTTTACTTGCGGTATAAAACTCGGACACGAACGCACGTTTGTGCGGATAGTTACGATTTTGTAAGGCGAAAACCTATGTTTGCTTGAGATATCACCATTTGCACTATGGAAAGTGTTACCCCAGTCATCATCAGACATCATCTCTAGTTACTACCGATGTGCTAAACTGCAGTCGGCGAGTTTCTCGCTTTGCAGTTGTCACGCTCTGTTTTCTTCTAACAATGTTCATGTATATGCGTTTTTTGAGCTGCTCCTCGTCGATGAGTGTTCCAGGTACGGTTTCACCAATTATGAGCACTAAACTTCTGCTCCCCTAGTGCAACATTTAACAGTCTAATGCCAGACTGATGACATTTTTTGTTCGTCTATGTGATGGATGTTTTGTGCTTGAGCTTACCATGACGAGGCTGCACCTTAACGTGATACGATGATTTGCCTGCCTCAGTGACCCGTTGAGCTACATTGGGTGACACCTTCCAAGTGTCTTCAGAATCAACCATGCTAGATAGGTCAATGGTTAAGCTACAGACTAACTTAGTCACACAATCCTCTTCGGTGTTTTGGGAGAGTTTGAACGGCCCCTTCCCTTAAATTGTAGTTACGGGGGACAACAGGTCTATTGATTTTAAGCTTGCAGCTCGATTGACGTAGGTCAGATGCGCCAGGCAGCGTCTCTGACAGTGGGAGAGCAGCGTCCGGCGCTCAATGGTTTGCCGCCACCCGCCTCCAGCCATGCATCCCTTGGTCAAATTGGTGCAAATCCGCCAACTTCCACCTGCGACTGGCCGTGGTCGCGGGGGGGTAATTGCTTAGCGGATTATGATTTCGGATTTCCCCGGCACCGTGGCCTCCCTAGGACTGCCACAAGACGTACTTGCACTGCACCACCCACAGCTCCATCCACAAACCCAATATCAAGTGTAACCCCGAAGAAATAATACAAGGAGGCATGTGGATGGGAGCCAAGCTTCATCATCGGAGCCGGCCCACACTCTTTCAACATGCACAGCTGCAGCATTCCTCTGTCCAATTGGGGAGTCATACGTACTAGGACGCGCACCACTGCTGAGCCCCAATAGGGCGAAACGGCCGTCTGGTGCTTTTCCGGATAGCCGGTCGACATATCTGAATTGTCGGCTGATTGCGACGAACAAAAATACGTACTAGGCGTACATAGGGCTATGGCTGGGCCGTAGCCCGTTTCACGCTGTATGCTTGAAACCACGGTCATGAAGTACTGTGCACCCCGTACTTCCTAGCAATGAGCAACTGTTTCTTCCAGCCATAATAATCGGGGCAGCGGTTTTTCAACAAGTGGGCACCTTGTCATCATTCACATCAAGCGGACTTACACCGGAGATATCAATCAACAGGCAACACCTCAAGAAACTCAACACGTGGGAACGTGCAGACCAACTACAGCGATGATGTAGCACACGTACCAGATCGATTGCATTCTTGGCCTGGTTTAATCAATGGAATCAGAAGCAGCGTACTTACCAAGCGCTGCGCTGTTGGTGTTTATCTACTCAGCTTGTTTGAACCCGAGGTTCTGCCGGACTTGTTTACTGTATTAATCAGCATTACTAGTTAGATCGGTTCTGACCAACGAAACTTCCGCTCATCTACGCACGTTGCTTTGGTGTCTAGTGGTTATGTGGCGTGCATTGCGTAAGTGTCCATTCATTGCGCGCATACCGTCGCAATGAGACTGGACCTTAACGTGGTGCGACGGTTTGCGTACCTCATTGACCCATTGAGCTATACTGGTGATGCCTCCGAGCATCTTGAGAGCTACTCCTACCAGGTTGGTCAATGGTGAGAGGTCAGACAAACTCAGTCTCCTGGTCCTCCAGGTTGGGGGGTTTGAAATGGGATGGCGTCCATTTCTGTAAAACTAAATCACTGCCACCCCGCTGCCTTGCGGACAGCTTGGCCATGGACCCTAACCGTTCTCCTGTCTAGGTCTGGGCGCCCTGGCAGTATCCCAGCCCACATACAACCATGACATTTTCTTCAAACATAAACTCATCCTGCATCGGCCGTCGCGCAGATTATCAAGGGTCGCCTTATCTGCTGCATACAGCAGGGTGGATAAACGAAAACATGCTACTGCTGGCGCCCCCTTCTTCCTTTTTCACCTTTTTTCTCTTACTCCCATCCTGATCCCCAGTACTAACCTTCCTTCTATAATTCCCAGCTTAATTGACAGCAACCGAAGTGCACTGGAGTAGTAACGTCCGCACTCCAAGACAAACAGGTCAGCAGGCTGCACTCGCACGCACCTTGGACACACTGGGTGTTGATGTGTGTTGTGTTCCGAACTAGGAGTAATGACCCTAACGGGGTTATTGAATTAACTGCACCCGGCTTATCCTCTCGTTATTGGTTGCACGCATCCGGAGACGCCGATGCGGCACTCACGGGTCAAGCTGGTGTAGGTATCATTCTCAGCTCCAACGCTGAGTTATCGTTGGTTGATTGGA